CCGTGGTGCACGACCTGGGGCTGCGCGACGGCGTCCAGCGCGTGCTCTTCGGCAACGACCTGACCTTCTGGCTGCACAAGCTCGTCTTCATCGACGCCGTGTCCTTCCTGTCGGGGAAGAGGCTGGCGCTGTCCCTGGACAGGTACATCCTCGTGGACATCGACGACATCTTCGTGGGGAAGGAGGGGACGCGCATGAACGTCAACGATGTTCAGGTAAGGCTCTGCCACCTCCGCTCCCCCGCTTTGTCCCCTCGGGAGGCCCGTGGACCGCGCCGGTCGCCCGGGACACGAGACGTCGCTTAGGTCAGGGCAGCCTCGGCACAGCCCTGACAACCAAGTGGAGATTCTTTCTCTCCGAATCGGGAAAAATGGGAATGGCAGCCAAGGGCCGATTGGTGTGGCGGGAGCCGGAAATGGTTTTCCCTGTGCATTTTAAACTACAGAGTAGAAACCATTTTGTTCGACGACTTTCCAGAAACTGTCTACCTTAGAAAACTATTACTCATCTAAGATTTAGTCCATTTAAATATGAAATCAAAGTGAGTTTGTTTCCATGATGATAAATACGCCAACAAATTTTCAAAAATTAAAGATCACGTAAGTAGCAAGTTCAGATATTTTTGGAATCAAATGCGCAACCCATTTTCTCTTATCATTTTTTCTGAAACTGATAATTAGCGGTACTAAATATGGAGAGCTCTGAACACACAAGCTACTTATTCACACATAAACACGGGATTTAAATTAACTTTAGAATTCATCCGATATTTCTGGTACATATGTGAAGCCTATCATACTGCATTTAAATTGTATTAGATTTCTTGTTATGTAAAACTGCTGTCCTCAAATAGAAAACAATTATTTGAAAATAGTGGGTTATTATTGTGAATAGATTGTGTTGCATAAACAACTGGTTATTTCATATTAGCGAAATTTAAAATGAAAATGATCTACATCTACCTTCGTTTCTCATTCAAAATGCCGTAAGATTCTACTTCTGTTTCACTACATGTGATTCCTTATAAGAGTGAAAGGAGAGACTTTTGATACACAATTTTTATTCCGTGAAGCTTTGACCTTTTGGTAAAATACGAAAAACTAAATTGGATGGGGGGAAAAAGTCTTGAAAACTGCATTCTTTCCTCCAGACACTAAGCATCTGGCAAATGATGGTAATTTTCATCACGTTAGTTAAATGAGTTAAGGGTACCACAAGGACCAGTAAACGTTACCGTAAGGGAGTTTAAAGACCGAAAAGAAGAAAATATTCTTGGCAACATTTTAGACTTTCTTTTATCTCAATAGAAATTAATAAAGAAGTTGTGCTTTAGTTTTCATTAAGTCTTTTGAAATATACTTTTGAATATGTGGTGGAATTAAATAACCAAGCTGGTAGTTTAAATGTTTATTGTATGCTTGAAAATTACAAACGATACATCAGTCTCTTCTCAATTTTTTCATCTCCAAATAGGATAAAATGTTTTTAAGGTTTTATTTCTAAAGTAAAATTCGTTACTTTGGTTTTTACTCAAGTAAAAACTGCCAAAACATATCGTTATGCCATTTAAAAATATGCTAGATAAATCTCTGAGTTTTTTATGCAAACCCTACTATAGCCTCTAAAATTATACAAAAAACAATGCCTTTTGTGTCGTTAAGGTTAAGCCATTTTTAAGGGGTATAAAGAAGCCTTACTGAACACACTAGATAAAAATTTGGCGTGTGTAAAACATTCTATGAATTGTTCACATTTAAATGGGAATATATTTTCTAACCAACCTGAAGACTTAAAAGCAACTGTATTTTGAATTATTTGGGTTTCAAAATTACTTCTAACTTGTTTCTATGATTGTGTCACAAAACACTAATTCATCGTAGTCAGCTGCCCTGAGAATCTAAACATATTCATTCACTCATTCATTCATCGTTTCGTTCATTCATCCCGTAACTGAGTATCAAGCATGTACTACAGGTCATGCATTTCTGACGATGTGTAGATCGCATCGCAAACCTTGGTCTTATCCCTTTAGGAGAGAGGGTAGGGGAGAGGACAGTTACGGAGGCCCAGAAGTGGCAGACGGTGCTCAGGAAGGGACATGGCCGTGTCACATGCCAGGTGCAGAGGCGGGCGGGCATGAGAGAAACGAACATAGACAAGCATGGCTCCCCCTTACTGAGTTCATGGTCCGGGGGGCGGGGGTAGATAGGTGGGTAAATGGCTTGCAGTGTGGTGAGTACAGGAGCGAGGAGTCGCCGTGGCTTTAAGTCCGGCCATGGAAGCACTGCCCTGTGAACTGCGTGCCAGGAACTGTACAGCCCTGTTTAGTAGGACACATTTTGACAGCGAGACTGGAGTGATATAATGATTTGGGAGGCTGCGGGGGTGATATTCAGACAAAAGTAGGCGATTTCTCAGAATCAGAATAAGGGTGGAGAAGGAAGGACTAACTTAAGAACTATTTAGGAGGTAAAAATGAACAGCTTAGTCATGGATCACTGGAGAGGAAAGAGAATATAATCTAAGGTGACGTGAAGATTTTTAGCATAGGTGAATAACAGCTGATTCTCTCAACGGCAACGGAAGAGGATCGTAGTGAAGGTCATTGCAGGTCCCACTGAAAATTTCAGTGTTCCTGAGGTGCGTCTGGGACGTACAGGTACTGAT